TATATTTTGATATGTCACGGAAAGGCTCAAAAGGTGTTGTGTCTAAGTTTTGGTTCCTTTTATGAGTGCAATTAGAAGGTCAAGGTCATTAGGTTGGTTAGGTTCTTCTTCATGATTAGTTTGGTTCTGTATTTCTGATAGTTCAACAGGTTCAAGATGGGTACTAAGAGCAGTAACCTTAGGAGATGATCAGTTAGCTTCTTTCTTCTGGAATAAACCTACAATGGTAGATTATTTTCTAGATCTCCATTATCTATATCCGGATTAGGAGACTCAATAAATTCATTTGAATTCAGAGACTCGGGTGACCGAAGAAATGATGACTCAGGCAAGAATTTGACACGACTAGAAATAAAAAAATAAAATAGTGACAAGTCTAGGGGTCCCTCTCCCTTCAATAACTCTCCTTGATTGTAAGAATGACCAAAAAAGGATTCACTCTTATCAAATGTAACATCAGGAAACAAAGAATTTCTTTGATGATGGTTGATAACACTTATCACCTTTTTGAGTAGGAGAATATCCTAAGAAAACACACTTAAAAACATGTAGGTCTAATTTGCCTCAATTTTGAGAATGAATATAAACATAGGCAACACTCCCAAAAATCTAGTAACCAATTTGTTGAAAATTTTAAAATTCAGAAAGAAATTTCTAAGAGTATCAAGCGGACTTTTAAAGTTCAAAATTCTCAACGGCATTTTGTTACTAAGATGTGTAGCAGTTAGGACAACTTCCCCTCAATACTGTTTTGGCACCCTTTTGTGAAACAATAGTGATCTAGTAATGTTATATAATAGACCATTTCTTCTCTCTGCTATTCCATTTTGTTGAGGAGTATTGACACATGAAGATTCATGAATAATCCACTCTTTTAGAAGAAAACAGAGAGGATTTGATTGAAGTTGTCTTTGGCATTATCAAATTGGAATCTTTACATAGGCACATTATATTGGGTTTTGATCAAATTAAAAAAAGTAGGATGAATTCGACTAAAATCTGATTTTTCTTCTTTAGAAAATAGATCCAAGTTACTCTTTTACAATCATCGATGAATGACACAAATCATCTAGCACTAGAAATATTAGGAATGGAAGAGGGTCTCCAAATATCACTATGAATAAGATAAAATGGATCTTTGACTTCTTTTGTGACTAATTAAATAGGAAATACGTTTGTGTTTTGCAATTTCACAATCATCACAATGTAAAGACTCAATAATCAAATATTTGAATAAAGATGGAAACATCATTTTGATTACATAAAAGGCTGGTTGACCTAATCGATGATGAGAAAACCATACTTTCTCTTTATTGGACATAACAGATTCAGACAAGAATAAACTAGATACGAAATTCTTAGTTATATCTTCACCACTGTGGACATCTTGACAATAAAGACCACATTTCTTACTAGCACGCCCAATCATCTTCTTTGTGTTCTGTTCCTGAAATAAACAATATGAAGGGAAGAAAATTACTTGGCATTTGAAATTTTTGGCATTTTCTAGTTAGAAATGAGATTTGCAAATAACTTTAAGTATCAAGAATTTCTCCGGTATATGTCTCTTTGTCCAAATACAATAATAACTGAACTATCAGCTATAATTATTTTTTATAACAAGGACAAGGGGAATATGATATGAAGAGATAAAGGGAATTGGTCATGTGATCAGTTGCCCTAGAATCAACCAGCTATATTGGAGAAATTTTGTCTGAGATATTAGTAACAAAAGAGCAAGAAATACATGTGAAGACCAATGAACAACTATATGTGTCTACTTTCCATCACTAATGTTTCTATTTGGAGGTCTACCATTGAGTCTCCAACATCTCTTGGGTGTGCCGATATTTTTTGTAATATGTGCAATATAGATTGTCCCTATTGAATGACGGTTTGAATGAACCCACAGGCTTGATGGTGCTCTCTCATTGTTAAACTTCAGATTCTTTTGGACTTGTTCCTTTTGCTAAAGAGCTGACCCTTCATTAATTTGAGTTTCAAGCATAACATTCTTCCATCCTTCTTCTGTATAATGGTCATTGTCTCATTCAATGATGACAAATCTTCTTTTCCTAAGATTAACACTCTCATGGAATCAAATTCTGCATTTAGCCCTGCAAGAAAATCATAAATCCTTTCTTTTCAATAATTTTTTTCAGAATTACAGAATCATCTTTACAATCCATTTGAATGCATTGATAATGATCCATTTATTTTCATAACCCCTGTAAAAAGTTAGAATATTTAGTGATAGGTCGATCTCCCTATTTTGCTGCAAAAAAAATATTTTTATTTCATAGATCCTGAAAACATCATGTACTTTAGAGTACGTCTCCTTCACTGCATCCTAAATTTCCTAAGCGGTGCTCAGTTAACATAATGTTATCGCTCATTTCTAAAAGCATAGAGTTCCAAAACCAAGACAACACCACCACATCATGTTCATCCCATGTATCAAACGTGGGGTATTCTTTAGATGGTTTTGTATCGAGAAGGTGTCGTATTTTCCCTTTACCCTTTAAAAATGTATGAATCAGTTGGGCCCATTTTAGGTAATATTTTCCATTCAACCGATAAGAGACTTAAATGTTTGCTAATCACCAGTTGAAATTGTTGAGATATTCTCTACAGTTGCAAAAACATTTCCAGAGGCTGGAATAGTTGCAACAATCACATATTCTGACATGGTTCTTGAATGATTTTGAATAAAGATAGAAAAAAAAGATTTTTTCAAGACAAGATGAATAAAACTAGTCAGGAAAAAGTCTAAAGCTCTGATAACATGTGAAAATTAGATAGTTGAATAATTTCATTTATGTCTTTCTATGTCATATACATAACTTTATATACATGGGAGATTATGGAATGAAATCACCTAGATCCCATAAATTCTGGAATTCAATAAAATCATATATTTTACAAAAAAAAAAAGAAGAGAAAAAGATATTCTAGCATTACAACAATTATCTTAAGATCTTAGAGCATCAAATCTTGATATGGAGAATATCCTCTATCAACCAACAATTTCAAATACCTTATTTTGAAAAACCAATTTCTTCTATTTTAATTCATTGTGATAGCAATGCTGCAATTGATAGAGTTCAAAATTATATTTCAACGGTAAATCTAAAGTTATAAAGTGGAAACACAGTATTGTAAGATCGTATTTGACAGGTGGTACCATTAATGTTGATTATGTCAAATCGTGTGATAATCTTGCAAATCCTCTTACTAAGGCCTTAGCAAGAGAAAAGGCCGGGAGCACATCGAGAGGGATATGATTGAAGCCTATATAAATCCTTGAGTCATATATGAGGAAATCCAACATGGGGACTAGAGATCCTATAACTAGGTTCAATGGAAAAATGAATCATATGATGACTTGATGTGAAAAAATGCACTACTTTTTATTTCCTCCCTATGATGTGAGTGCATTGTTTCCTGTAATGATTTGTGAATGTTGAGCTTACAAAGTTCTTAATGAAAATCTGTAACTCATATGTGTGGAGTGTTAAACTTACAAGAGCACTCTCGACAGATTTCACCAATGTGAGTGTGGAAGTAGGTCACTTCCTATGAGAATTGAGTTTGTTCTCAAAAGCATTCATGAAACTGGGATAGCACAAGGACGTAACGTGTTGGCTTTTAAAGCTCATGTCAACACCTTCATTGTTGTGTGTGAGCAGTGATATTTTATTTCCCTTAAGCAGTCATAGTTTTAAGTCTGAGACCACTATGACTCTGGAGTAAAAGTTATTGTTACGCTAAGTGAAGGTTCAATGCAGAGCACAATTTCATTTTGTATAATAATCTTTCTTTAGCTGATATACCCTCTTGTGTAATATTTTTAAAATTATTGGGGATTGTTATGGCATTTTTTTTATATTATTATATTAAGTTAAAGTGCCTTTTCAATTTATTTATTTTGCTTCTTATCAGAACGTTAGTGTCAATAGGCATGTTATTCAACATTTTAAATATTATTATATTATGGTTTTCAGATGATTTTTTTGCAAAATTTTTACGGAACTTTCTGTAGGGTGTTGGGGGTGAAATATGTGAAGGCTCGCCATTTTTTTGGGTATTAGGAACCATTTAAAGGAATTAGATAATTTTTTCTATTCCATGAATATTTTGGTGATATGGTTTTCGGTCGGTTTTTTCGTAAAAAGAATTGTTTTTCAACAAAATTTAATGAAAACATATTTAAATTGGTTGGATGACTTTCTAAATGACATATCAATAGTTGAGTGACTTTGTAGGTAAAATATTCATAGTTGAGTGACTTTGAGGTTATAAAAGAAAATTGAGTGACTTTCTGTAAAATGAACTATTAGTTGAGTGACTTTCTGTGAAAAAATCCATAATTGAGCGACTTTGAGATTATAAATGAAAGTTGAGTGACTTTCTGTGAAAAGAAGTATTAGTTGAGTGACCATATGAGATATTAACTCAAGATTTATTAGACATGATAAAGATGTTTGTCTCATAATTTCTTATAAAAAAATTACATTAAAACTTTGGAATCCAACTTCTCAATTGAATCTTGATTTTAGACGTTTGACTTAGAAGTCCCTTCGAAAGTTTTTTTTTTTTTTTTTTGAGTTGAATTAAATTAAAACTGCGTGAGTAATATAATAAGCTCACACGCCGCCACTAGTTCCTATTTTTACTATCCTCACACATGAACAATCACACATCTTCTCTTACTTTCAAAGTCCAACCAACTCTTCCTTTTCTCTCTTACCTCAGCTCTACCATACCCATTCTTACGTTATATATACTTATATTCGTTATTTTCTTTTTAGTTTGTTAAAATAAAAATAAACATAAATTGAGACGAATAAAATAGAATTTCCTTTTTATTTTAATTTGTACCGTATCATATAAAATAAAACGGAACAGAAAATATATACTACTCTATTCATCCGAAAGAACACCTTCTCTCTATTTTATAAACAATCATACCACTAGACAATCAACAAATTAAAAAAAAAATGCCTCCAAAATCATCACTTTTACTCCAAAGAATCAATCCCACCACCACTTCTACAACCACCACCACCACCGCCACCTCCGGTAAACAACTACAAAGACGTACACCAATACCATGTACCACTGAAGTCCCCGATTCCGTCACTACTCATCATACTCATTCCGTTAGCCCAAACCAGTGTTGCTCCGCCGTGATCCAACATATCTCCGCCCCAATCTCCACCGTTTGGTCCGTCCTCCGTCGCTTCGATAATCCTCAAGCATACAAACACTTCGTCAAGAGCTGCCACGTCATCGGTGGAGATGGGAACGTGGGGACCGTCCGTGAAGTGCGGGTCATCTCGGGGCTACCCGCTGCTAACAGCATGGAGAGACTTGAGATCCTTGATGAGGAACGCCACGTCATCAGCTTCAGCGTCGTAGGCGGGGACCACCGCCTGGTGAATTACCGATCTGTTACCACCCTCCACTCCGATCAAAATAATATTGGGACGACGACGATCGTTGTCGAATCGTACGTTGTTGATATACCACATGGGAATACTAAAGAAGAAACATGTGTGTTTGTGGATACGATTGTTAAATGTAACCTTCAATCTCTTGCCCAGATCGCTCAGAATTCAACAAGACGAAATACTGCTAATTGAAATGAGGTACGTAGAGGTGTCAAATGAACTGGTTGATCAGTTTCTTATCATCAAGTCTGTTCAAAGTTTGCTTGGAGTCAAAATAGATTGGTCAAAATGAGCTAAAGAATGAATCATAAAATTATGAATTGGGGGAATTGAGGTCATCAAAAGAGTTAAACACATTAAAACAACTAATGGATCATGATGTTTTTTTTTTGTTTTTTATCAGAAGATATCTTTTGGGTACGAATTAGATCTTAAAATAATTCCTTTTTTTTTCTTTCATATTTTGTTGAAGATATGTTCAATATCATAAAATTTAAAAAAAGATTAATTGTAATAAACTTATTATGGTAGGAATTTAATTTGTTTCTCCTTTGGTGCCTCTTTCAACTTCATCTATGATCTATGCATTTTAATTCTTATTTATGGTACAAAAAACTGAAGGATATGAATAAGTAATGAGTTAAAAGGAAAAAAATGACAAGTTCAAATGCAAGTATTTCATGTTAGTTTAATATCCATATTATCCAAAGCATATAATTATTTCTCATTGAGTTGTTATATTATTGTTGAATTAGAATTTTGGGTGATCGAATTATGGAGATATCATCAATCAATTAATTTGGGTACAAATTTTGTCATTAAAGACAGATTCAAAAAAGATGGAGTAACTAATTAGCGAAGTGTTTTGTTTTATTTGTTTAGCATTGTTACCCTATTGAGTACAGTATGGATGATTATGAATAATGTCTAAATACATTGTATTACTAAATCAAAATAAATTACTAAGTTTTAAATTTTGAACCTAATAAATTAGGTAAGTTATGATAAAATTATTTGAGATGTGCGTAAACATACCCGAGAAACGGCGATTAAACTTATCCGCATTGGGTCATGTATACACCAATTCAATACATGCATTCAATGTGTTTAAATTTATAATTCATTTTACTTAATTTTAATTAATTAACATGTGTTTTACTTTATTAAATCACATAATAATGAAAATTGCATTAGTTTGGTGTATACACACGGTGCGGGTAAGTTTTTTCTCGAGAAACGGTATTGTGGAATCCACGTGAATGGATGCGGGTGTGATATAATAGTAATGCTAGCTAGCGATTAGCTTACAATAGGTTACAAAGGGAATAATATTAATTGTTTGTCTCTATATATGTTCGACGAAACTAATTAGTACGATGAAGCCATTATTATTATATATGATTTATTTAATAGTGTTTGATTATTTTATTGATTAAGTTAATCAAGTTTACTGGCCCGCACGATAGTTGATAAACCTCGTAAAATCTTTGGGCAAACCAATAGAAACTGCTCCTTTGAATCTTCCTACGACCTTCCTACTAGCTTTGTCTTATTTATATATTTCCATATTTTTTTGCTTTTGAACAGTCAGGTTGACTAATCTTTAACGCTGAATTAGATTATATCAATTCAATATTTTAAATTTATAATTTATATATTCAAAAACTACACGAAAAACACTATAAGTTGTAATTTCTTTCATGTTAATATGATGAAAAAACATAATTTAAAATGTTAGGTCAAACTTTACATAGTTTGAATCCTTAAAACCAAATGTAGCACATAAATTGAGATGGGAGAAGTATATATAATATATCTTAAAGTGGAATGATCACTTATTATATCCGTTTAAATTAAATTCTGATATAAAAAATTCTTTGTACTACCATTATATAGTACTTAAATCCAAGATATAAGAAATATTTAGCACCTTGCTTGCCATTTTCGAGTTATTTAATCGGGTTAGATCCGAAAGATGATAGTTAGTAAAATAGTAACAACGTAGAAAAGATGATGTATAAACACGATAACAAAAACATCTTTTAGTGGCAATAAAGCACATTGACAGAGTGTTAAAACATTTATCGGCATTAGTTAATTGTCATTAGATATAATGTCGCTATAGGCTTTAGGGTCATTTATAAAGAATGTTAATTTCCAATAAAAATGCATATTTAGTGGCAATTAAGCTATTGTCGTTAGTTAATTGTCGCTAAAAATCATTTTGGTATAGTAAAAAAAGATAGAAAGATGAAAGCAAATGCGAAACCTAAGAATTTCCATTTGAGGCATAATGGGGAGGAGGCATTAAAATATATGATAATGTGGGAATTTAATACTTTATCAATGTATATATAACTTAAATCGAATAACTATACAGTAGTATAAATCAAATAAGTAGATAACATGATGATAATCAAACACTTGGGGTTGTTGCAAGTTGGAACGAACTATTCTCTTTTTTTGTTGTTGAAAGAGATACCAATTAGTTGAAAATACATCTATCAACGAAAATGGGATTAAAAAATGTCTCAAGATTATGTGAAATTAAATAAAAATATTCTTAATTAATAATTTGATCCAAAAATATCACTATTGACTGTAAGAATATTTTTAAATCAAATTATTAAAAAGACAATATTTTTATTTAATTTTACATAATTTAAGGATGTTTCCTTTTCTGATCTATCAATAAAGAAATTGCAAGTTGCATACTTTCAATATTCGTTTGCTCCTTTTTAATAAAGGAAGATGTGCAAGTTGCATCAATAATATTGCTGGTATCACCTCACCTCACCTCATCACTGTTTGTAGTGTTGTGACTTTGAGTTATATTTTAAGAAGATTAATTAATTAATAATTGCAAGTTGGAGTTGCAAGTGGATGTACTACTCATTAGAGTCTTTATTATTACTATATTATAAAAAATGACTTCACACTACCTTCCGCTCTGAATTACGTATCTCTTTGTTGGTTTTTTTTTTGTTTCTCTTTAATTATGTTCTTTTGTTTTGCCAAAGAATCATATATATATATATATATATATATGGGCAACTTACAAAAATCCTACGTTTATGTGTTAATTATTTAGATATATTTTAGTTTGCAATATAACTAATTTTATCAGATTTTGATGCGTCTAATACGTCCAGATATATGTATCTCGGGATACATGGGTCTAAATTAACTGTAATTTGTTTTAGATACATTGTATCCAATTGTGGTTTCACATGTATCTCAAATACATAACAAATCTCGATTGCCTCCCTCGCATCCTTCGCCACTCTCCTGTGTATATCTGGTTGTATCCCAGATACATGTAAATCACATCAGATACATGTATCTAGAGTGATTCGCATGTATCTGAGATACATAACAAATCTCGTTTTCTTCTCTCCATATTTTAGTGTATTTGGTTGGAAAAATACATGTATCTAGGTTTATCTTCCTCAATATATGGTAAGAAATTCTTAATTAGTGGTAAGATACGTAATTATTTAAAAGTATAGATAGAATTAGTATATATAGTTTGAATGTATATCTAATAAGGATTTTCAACTTAAATAAGAATGTGCAAACTAAGGCTTTCCCAACTCGATCGAGACACGATCCATAATTTTGTGTGATTGGATGTGAGAAATATATTGTACACATTTTAAGTATAAAATATGATTTGTTTCTTTAATTTTGGTGGATTTTATCAGTCTAATGGTCACTTAACTAAATTATATGTGTAGTAAACTTATTATTTTTAATTTATTTCGTCACAAAAGAAGTTGTTATTCTTTTAGTCATATAAAAAAAGTCATTCTAACATGTCTTGTGAGTTATCTGACCGTTAACTCTTGATTTATTATTAAATTAAATGTAAACATGGAAATACGTGTACATATGGTAAATTTGGATTATGGTAGACATAGAAATTATAGACCTAATGAGTTAGGATTTGGGTAGGTGAATAGGTTAGGAGTTAGGATTTGGCTAGCTGAATATGTTAGAGATTCAATTATTTCCTTGAATATTAATAGATAGTATGGCTAATGAGAAATTAAAGATGTGAAAATTTTCATAACTATATATTGTTCTCTCTTCCGTGGTTCTTCTTCCTTGATTTAGCATGACATCAGAGTCTTATCAATGTTGGGTCCCTTATAGACTGTTCACACATATAATATCGCAAAATTGTTCAAGTGTGTGGGGGTGATGAATGAAACCTTACATTGAAAATGAATGGATTCCTTGAATTCTTAATATTGATTGGACAATCCTCCCCTCTTATGAAGAATAAGTATGCGAAGCTTTTGAGAAAATAAGAGCAGATTATAGTTCTGCCGTATTTGTTTTGTATTTATAGATTTTGTACATATTGACGATAAGTATAAGAGTCCTAATCTAATACCTATTCTAAAGGAAGGGTAATCCTTTGTTACAAAGAATAAGCTACGACAATTGAATTTGAAATTAACTACATTATTTGAATTCAAATAGGTGATGGACTCTAATAGCCCCCTGCAAAATCATGTTCTTGATCGAACCATGAGCTTGGATCTAAGGTTGAGGAACCGAGTTGTGCCAACAACTTTAGAAAAGATATCTGCTATTTGATTTTGAGATGAAACATAGCGAACCACCAAAGATTGATCTTCAACCATCTCTCGGACAAAGTGATAATCAAGACGAATATGCTTTGACCGTTGATGGATGACAGGATTCCGAGATAAAAAATGTGCACTAAAATTATCACAAAGAACTATGGGAGGTGCAGTGAGAGGAGCACGCAGTTCACTGATAACTTATTGTACCCAGATTAATTTAGTAGTTGCCAGAGCTAAAGCACGATACTCAGCTTCAGTCCTTGAGCGGGCTACAACTTTTTGTTTTCGAGAAAACCAACTGATCAAGTTACCTCCATAAAATAGTGCAAAACCATGTTGGGAGCGACTATCATCAAGGTTAGATATCCAACCAACATCTGAAAAGGCTATCAGACTAGAATCAGACATAGGTCGTAGGAAGAGGCCATCATGGAGGGATCCTTTCAGATATCGAAGTATGCGTTTTACAGCTGACCAATGAGAAATGGTGGGTGATTGCATAAATTGATATACTCGATTGACTGCGTAGGATATTTTTGGCCTAGTGATAGTAACATATTAAAGGGAACCAACAACACTACGATATAAATGAGCATC